TGTTACCAAATTATCACCGTTTTAAAATAAGAAAACTGGATTCTAAATTGCCTCCATGTCACTTTGGGTTGAAGCAGGAATCTGTTTTTTGATGAATTGCTCAGGCAGGAAAACGAGCAAGGTCCAGGTGAAAAATAAATCTCTATCTGGGCTCGTAAGATAACTAGCGTCTTTGTTCAAATGTTTAGAAAGGGAGAGACTCCAGATGTAACTGGCATGAGAAGATCCTGTTTTAAGAGTGACCTTTGCTCTCTCTTTCTCTTTATCTTTGGTTTTGAATAGGTCTTAAAGAAGGTGACAAAATCATCTAGACCATCCCGTTTAAGTAATTTGAAACTGCTTACAGGTTTAGGAGAGGAGACACCTTCAATGCATATATTAAAATTAGGACGACACCTCTTAATAAAAGTCTCCACTTCTCAGCAGCAAGCCGAATTACTTTGTTTGCAGCCGCACGAGCAGTTCCTTTGCTTTTTCTCTTATTTTTGTATTTTGTTCATTTTTCTACTTTTCTCAGGTAATTAATGTCTGTTTTATGGTTTGGACTTCTTGATGATTTTGGTGTGATGCTGATCTGTTTTTTCTATGCATTTAATTGTCTGAATAAAACTCTAGATATGTCTGAAGTTGAATGCCGACTGGTTGTTCTCTGTGTGGTTTCCACTGTGTACATGCGGAACTCTGGATTCGGGAGACTAGAGGAAAACAACGAGTAAAGAAGTTTAACAATTTATTCCTCTAGTATTAACTCTATCATTAACTTGACACAAGGCTATTCATTCAGTCTGGGCGTGATGCTTACACTAGCTATATGCATTGCAGGTAGATTGTAGTTGTGACACAACATTATTTTGTACTAAAGCCTGCTCATACGGCAAGATTTGCACCTGTTATGTGGCTGGACACACGAACCGATCAAATCTGTTGTACTTTTATTGCCTCGTGTGGTCACAGAAGTTTTGAGAATTGGCCGACAATCCTAAAATCGTGCCGTGAGAGCCAGACTTAAGACTTACAAGCTCTATTTCTCTCGTCTCGATAACTGCCATAATGCTCTGACTCTGGTCGCTATGGTAACGTTTAAAATAAGATCTAGATACACCACAAAAACGAACATTTCACTTTCATGAAAATTTTAACTCATGACGACAAATTAATGGGAGCCCTGAGCTTGTTATTTGCAACAAGACGGTCCTATCTGGGAAACAATGACGCCTGATGCAGAGGGTGCTTGATCTGTAATGGCGAAGCAGTTTGAAGCTTGATTACCTCATTAGTGAGTCGGTGCATATTATGCAGAGTGGGCTTGGAATGTGGGAGTCACCGACCGGTCCAAGATAAATCCATTCTCCTGTCTCTGGTCTTTTTCCCCTTTTCCAAATAAACTTTCCAAAGATATCTATTTCTTACTCATTGTGGGCTCAATATTGGTGCGCAAGATGTAACCGAGAGAATCCGGTTAAAGGGTTTTCAAAATAAAATATCCTCCAGACTCAGATAATACATAAAACGAAAATATTTATTTCTTGTGCGGCCCAGTACCAATTGGTCCGCGCCCAGTGGTTGGGGACAACTGTTATAGACTACCATGTTTTCCTTTAATGAATCCATTTGAGTTATTTACAAAAGGAAGTGCACTAAACCTTCTAGGACACATGATAACCTGTTTATGGCACAGCCATAAACAGTTATTTCTACTTGAAAATCAGACCGACATAATTTTAAGTTCTACAGACCGGTAATAGAGCTGCACGTTGGATAGAAATAAATCTCACAACTATTTGGGTTTAGTGAAAGTGAAGAACCGTTGACGTTTGTTGTTCCAAACAAAATGGGAGATATGAGAATTAAGGGATTTAAAGAATGTAGAAGACAAATAACATGGAAGATTTTGGAACAGGTAGCTTAAGTGAGGGAGAATATTCATTTTAATTGTATTAACCCTACCGTGAAGTTATATAGGTAAAAGGGACCATTTTGACAAATCATTCTTGATGTTAGGAACTAAGTGGGAAGAGTTTGATGAGAATAAGTCATTCAAATTGGGGCAATAAAGATGCCCAGGTACTTGAAGCCTCTTTTAGATATGTGATTAACATGCTCCAACCCCATCTCTTGAGGGATATTGAAAAGAGAAACATATTTGCCTAAATTAAATAGTTCTGGAACTAAGTTAACATAAACGTTATTTTTGTGTACCGAAGGTAGTTGGTCACAAGAGAGTTAATTTTAAAAATCTTACCAAAAAAGATGAGAGAAGTGGATCAACAATCTACGGCTAAAAACAGGAGGTGCAGAAACCAACAATGCCAGAATTTGCACCGCCCACTTTGTAACAGGTAAGGATTGTATCTTTTAAATTATATTTCCAGATAATTTATAGGTCAGTTACTTAGAAAGACAAGCATTCATATGTCAGGTAAGATATATATGATATATATGTATAAGATACCATGTTTTTAATGGGGTTTGCAAGGAGAAAATCTGAGCATGAATACAAAGATTTGAGAGAGCACAGAATATTTGAAAGAGAGCATAAGTTTTGAGGGAAAACGTTACAGGTTTTGAGAACAAACATGAAATTCTGCTTTCAAATCGAAAATGTATGTTCTCGACATACGGTAGAAAAATTCCCCAATATTAAGGTACATAGAATCCCAATACTTACAGCAGAGCTCATACTGTTGACTTTATCCAAGAGGGCAATAATGAGGCTGTAGAGGTTTCCCAGATATAGAACAAGGACTCTGTAAATACATAGCACACAATCTATAAAATCTGATATATCGTGTGTACTTCATGGTCCAACACATTCTCTCTCTCTACTCGTCATATATGGATGCTTGCTCAGGTTCCCTGAGTCACATGTTGAGGCAACAGGTACCCCCTTCTTATCAGTAATTGAGATGCAGGGTGTTTTCATTGAATGTTACAGAGCTCCTTAAGCATTGGAAAATGATGACCTAGGAATGAAAATGTGTCTTTAAATTTTTTTTGAAAAGCATAAAAAGTGCTTCAACTCATTCACAGTTGATGTATTTGTATGCTTAACAATGTTGTTTATTTTACTTCAGATCTCTGAATATGTGCTGTAATTTTATCTTCATTGCTGCTTATTTTTCAACATTCAATTCACCCTGCCTGAATGTCGATTACTGACGAGAGGAGGATACCCGTTTCCTGAACATGCGACTCAGAGGGAACCTGACCGAGCGTCCATATATGACGAGTAGGGAGTAAGAATGTGTTGCATGGTCAGAGTAATTCCTTGGGTGGATTTTTATTACTTCAGTAATATTACTTCAAAATTTATTGTTGTGCTCCTCTTAGTTGGTTTTGGGAACTCTACACCTTTAATCATAATCATATTTTCCAAGCACTGGATGTTTATTTTATTTTTATTTTGCATGTCTTATTAATCCCATTGCATACTCTTGCCAATGAATGTTTCACTGATAATGTCTAGTATGTGAAACATACTAGACTATGGGTTAGGGTTAGGTAATAAAGTGATTTTGTATAATTTCTTTTCCGTTGGTTGTCTTTAATGTCATTATTACAGGTCATATTAATGTTTGGGTTGGCTATGTTGTCTGTAAACATTTAATGAACGTTTGCAGACGATGCCTGCTGGACGTCAAACTTACACACCTTTAAATGTCAAATGTTGTCTGCAATCATTCAGTGAACATTGGTTGAACATCTGCAGACAATGTGCACTGAATGTTTAATGGTGTTTCATTTGATGTCTGCTGAACATTCTTGGCAATGTTCAGGGGTTGGTGTCTTAACAATCAATGCTAGCTGAGATGTGGCATGCCAGAGTTTCTGTATACTGACTGATAAGCTTTCTTAGGCAGTGGAACAACACAGACTGTCTACCACAGTACTGAAAATGACCTCTGGGGCATGTTAAAGTTCAATAGGTGCTGCAGAATTTCACTAAGCTCTTTTGTACCGCCCTTCCATACTCTGGGGCTGATATTGTCAATGATGAAAACTAATAAATTTACAGAACACATGGAAAATAAGGAGGAACCTGAGCAACAACAAAAGTTTAACACAGGAATCCAGTGAATGTATGAAACCAAGGAGCTTAAATAATGTTGTGATGTGAACGTGACATGGAAATCAGTTGAGTACAGTAAATGAATACAGAACAGCTGGGTGAAACTAAGGTGGAATAATGGGTATAAACTAATTGGCAATACCAGGATTAGAAAATATTGATCTCAAAACAGTGTGAATGGGAGATACACACACTGCGTAAGCTGGATTAATTTAAAAAAAAAAACAGCTTGACTTTGGTAAAAATAAAAATGAAACTAAAGAAATTAAAAGAAGCAGACTTTATTCCAATCTACATGTCCATGGTGAAAAATATTGATGTTGGTTAATGTTATGTTACTAGGAAAATTACATTATAAAAACAAGACTTTATCAGAATTCACAACTAAGGATACATTATGCAGATAATGGTCAATTAAATTATTACCTGGCCAGCTGGAATCTCAGAGAGGTTCTTGGGTGATACATCTCCAACTGGGCAACCAGCTCAAAAGCAGAAGGGGCAATCATAGTGATGAGTGAGACCACCACACTCACCTGAAGGGACACAAATAAGACAGCAATTTAAAATAAAAAGAAAAAAAGATATATGTCCCTTTCACAAAATAAACTACACCAGACCCAGCAAAACAATAAAAAACAACCGCTCAACAGAAAGTGAGAAACCTGGAAATTTTAAGAAGTGTTACTGACTGGACAACTATAGTTTGCTAAAATCACCCAGTTAGGTCAGCAAGTAGGTTGACTAAAACTCCGAAAAAAAGAAACAATCCTCTCTCTGGGTGCTTTTTTCCCTTTGTTCAGTTTTGTTTCCAGTTTCCATTTGGTCCCTACCTATACTGGATGTTGAGTAATCAAATGATACCAATAATTATGATATATATCTTGCTTCAGTACCTCATTCTTCTCCCACAACGTCAGCTCTGGCTTTTCCTGCTCCAGTTTCTGGGATCGGTCTACCACAAAATAGATGATGTAGATGCTCCCAGCTAGTGACAGCAAAACCAGGATATTGGCTAAAATACGCAGACTGATGAGAACTGCCCTGAAGAAAAAAACAATTGATCAAATGAATTTAGTGGAACTCAAAAATGTATAAAGAAAAAAAAAGCTTTACATTCAGTACATTTTATCAGTGAACCCTCAGTGCTAGATGTTTTCTGGTCTATGTTGCGATTACACAGTAAAATTAAATTAAGCTAAGCCTAAAATCCCCTGGCAGATTTAGAATGTACTGCTTTTATAGTTTTTATGGCAGGAAATGAGATGGACATCTCTCTAAAGATAAAAAATTACAATGCAATGGAAAAATAATTTTAGAACAAAATATTTTTTGCCTATTTTTATTTGAAAATAAAACAAATAATAGTATAGTATTCATGATAAAACAATAGTTTAGAATATTTTTGTCATGATGTGTTGTAGGTTTATTGTAGACTCAACTGCAGAACAGCGGAGGTGTAGATTTTGAAAATATTTAATGAAAGATGATGAGCACAAATTTTTTTAAAAAGACACAAGGAGCCAGAGCAGAAAATGATGAAAATGACAGCAGGCAAAACAGAACCAGAGAAAATAAAAGCTCAGAGGAGTAACAGGGGCAGGGTGACTTCTACGCCCCTTGTTGCCTCTCTGCAGGCCCTTCCATTTAAGTTTCTCATATTCAAGCAAAAGTTGTCTAAACCCCTGTTTGAATGCCAATCCTGGAAAAATCATGGCCAAGTCATCTTCTTAAATCAAGACATACATAAATGTACTTCTCTGTAAATTAATTAAATTAAAATAAATAAACATAAAAATGTGAATAAAATATTTACTGGCCCACCAGTTGGGACTGCTGAATACAACAGGGGAGATCTAAAATCGCTCTAGTCTAATGATTTTTCTTGTCTCTTTGTAACAAAGGCTGCAGCAACAGTGATGGACAGCAATGGAGTGGCCATTTTTAACTGGACCTAATGAACCCAATTTAAGCTTTGTTTAAGCCATTAAAGGAACTGCAACAGAGTGATTAAAATAAACATGAAAAGTTCAGGGCAACCAGTTTAAATACACCTAAAGATTTTTATTCTCACTTTCATAATCTGAGGGGGACTGAGAATCAATCAAGGACATTTTTATCTGTTCTTGAAAGCCAACATGACCAAGAATCCACTCAGATATAATAGGCACTATGAATCTGATTCAGAAACACTGTTAAAATTGGAACATGCTCATGCTTTTTTCTCTTATTTAACTAGAGGAGTCTTTGTTAGTGCCAAAAAACAAAAGGTTATACACAGGCATACACAGAAAACACTTACAGGCTCGTATCCTTCTTCTTTTCTTGCTCTTCAACAATTGCTTCCTGTTCAAAACAACATGAATCAACCCACTTGTTAAATTCAAGATTTGTTTTGATTTCAATTCTCAGATTAATTGAGTTTAATCCAGGTTAGATTGTTTGCAAGAGTTTTGTGTAAGTGTTTAACTGACCCTGATGTTGTTGACGATTGCAGCTCCTTTGCACTCTGCAGCTTCCGGGTTACCAATCAGGTAATCCCAGGCACAGAAAACTCTCCAACAGAATGTGAAGTTTTCATCAGAAGCACTGGCCAGACTCAGACGAGAGTTCTTTGCCATTCTGGTGGAAACATTAAATGTAATTTTTTTTTAAGAGTAGACAGACTGGAGCTGAAAATACATGATAAGAACCTTTAGATAGGTAGTAAATAGCATAAACATTACTTGCGTAACAGGATGATGAAACTGTAGGCAAAAACAGCCATCCCAACAAGGAAGTATGCAAGTGGGAGCCGGTATCCAGCACTGCCAATCTTCCTCACGCTGCCATAATAACCATAGAATAAAACAGAGTACTGCAGGTAACCCTGTGGTGAATCATACACAAAATACAGTTATATATAAAAATTTATATATTGAGGATGATTCTAATAAAAGGGATGAGAACTACAGCTAATATACAGTATGTTGCATGTTAAATTAAATATAACTCTACAAGGAAAAGAATGATGTAGAAAGAATGATCATACCATAACTTAGTGACTTATGGTAGAAGAAATTGATTAAACTGACCTTGGAAAAAAAAGGAGGCACTAAATTCATGTTTAAGTGAAGATCTATTGTGTCTATATATAGTGTGTTATTGACCAACAGTAAGAGGAATGAGAGGCTTGCCCCAAGAGACCAGATGGTGTCCAAGTCTTGGGCTGATGGAAGATGCTCTTTGGGGATAGTTTTACTTCTTGTTGTTCCAAATGGAGCTCCAGCCAACAGCTGGAACAGGATAAGATAAATGCAGAAAAGATCAATTTTATCGCACTTGCATCAGGGAAAATCTGACAGGTGGAGTCTCAAAGAAACACAGCAAACCTTCAACATTTACACCATACAGATACACTAGAAAGGACATATTTGTTACAAAAAGCCCCATCATATTGTCAAGTTTAGCTGAGCCACACGCATATAGCATTTCATATCTGGTCACATAATCTACAGCATTAAAAAAACAAAAATAGGAAACTGACAGAACCTCCTTAGTGTTCGATGGTCAATGATTTTAATCACTAAAAATAGAAAATGCAACAATTTTTGAATGTGGAGAATAACAAGGTTATTAAAACCTGGGTGATACAAATAGATAAACAGAACTATAAGATTACAGTGCAAGGATGACAGTATAAGTAATGTCACTGGAAATTGCTTGTGTCTGCATGTCACTAACAACAATAAATCCAGTATCATGTTTCCTCCTCTTTGGTTCTCTGCAGTTTGAACATATTCCCCAGGGATAAGTTTTCAGCTATGAATAATGCTCTATAAAAAGACAAATTATTGTTTACAGAGGGAAAAAACAAAAGAAAATAAATTGAATTATCTCTACATTTTGAACATTGGTAATAAATTGTAATACCTTACAATAAAGTGGAACAGAAAAGTCTACTTTTAAATAGTTTTTGTTTTAATTAAAACTCAAAGTATTTTGACATTAAAAATCATATCACCTATTCACAGACAAAAAAGCATTTGCAGACTTGTAGGTAAGGTTGTGAGAAGAAACTGGAGTCCAATTTTCAGCCTCACAGTTACTCATTATGATTACTCCTCCACTGTGAGTCACAACCAAACATCTCATAAATCAACTGTGATCATTTTGGACTTATGTTGGTTATATAAGTTACTGAGAGGCTAAACGGAGCTAATTTATTTCTCTGCTTAGGGCAGAACTCTAAATCAATCACTCCTAACATATACTTTGTCCTTAGAATCACAATAAAAGCTACACAGAATTTGGATGGAATTAATATGTTACATAATGCTTGGTGAAAATTTGGTAGTTTTTTTTTCATTAGTTATAATGATATAGTGGATCACCAAATTCTTTTAAATACACTGCAACATCTGGTTGGCCTTTTTGGTACTGTTCTTCAGTGGTTCAGCTCCTATCTCACAGATAGAACTTTTATGGTCAGTGTGTTCCTCTCAGATCCATGATGTTAACTGTGGCGTCTCCCAAGGCTCTATTTTAGGTCCCCTACATTTTAATTTGTATTTCTTGCCGCTTGGTGGAGTCATCAGGAACCTGATGATACTCAGCTCTATGTCTCGTTGTCTCATGACTACCCCCAGCCAATCACTGCACTTTTTAATTACATTTCAGACATAAAGGCCTGGATGGTACAGAACTTTCTCCAGCTCAACCAGGACAAAACAGAAGTTTTAATCATTAGACCAGAGGATCAGAAAGACATTCTAATTGAAAAAATACAAACTTTTAAACCTTCAAAACAAGTCAGAAGCCTGGGTGTTCTTCTTGACTGTGAGCTCACTGTTATTCCACACATTAAACAAATAGTGAAAACAGAATTTTTTAATCTAATATATAGCTAGAGTTCGCCCTATTCTCTCTCTCTGATACTGAGACTGATGCTTTTATTTCCAGCTGTGTAGATTATTGTAATGCCCTGCTTCCTAGTTTCTCTAAAAACACTCTGTACAGCCTGTACAGCCTACACTCTGCTGCTCGAGTGCTAACCACCACCAGAAGACAGGCTCACATCACGCCCGTTTTAAAATCATTGCAGTGGCTCCCAGTACCCCTCAGGCTTGATTTTAAGATTATTTTACTGGTTTTTAAGTCTTAATGATTTTGTACCATCTTACCTTGCAGAGCTGCTATTACCTTATGAACCTCTGTGGACTCCGAGGTCCTCTGGCACTGGACTATTAACAGTTTCAAGAGTCAGAATGGTGAGGCTTCATTCCAGTATTATTGAACCCGTTTGTGAAACAATCTGCCAGAAAACCTCAGGGCCGCAGAAAATGTTGCTGTCTTTAAGAGCAGGCTCAAGACCCATTGTTTGTTTTTGTGGGTCAATAAACAATAAAAATTGTTTATTGATTTTATTGTGCACTTTGAGTTGCTTTTAATATGAAGGGTGCTTTATAAATAAAATTGGGTGACTCAGTGATTGATTGACATGTTTTATGTAATAAAGACCTCTTTAGGATTACGTGATCTGGCTGGGAAGTACTAACATAAATGCCTTTCATTCATATAAATTTAAATTATAATCTTAGGCACACTCCTTCTACAACATGACAATGTAATCAACATCAGAACTAGCTTTCAGCATATCTCATAAGAGGGATATTTTATGTCATCAGAATTTGTTTTGGAACAAAAATTTTACAATAATTTTTTGCTTTTTTCCCCCTCAAGTTAAACAATTGAAACAAAATATGTTTTCTTACTGGTCTTGGTGGAATATATTTTCTTCTAATGCTGCGTTCACACCAAACGTGTCAGGCACATCTGGTTTAAATTCAAAGTCTATTTGGAGGCCTGTCTAGGGCGCGTCACGGCGCGATTCGCGCATCCAGTGCTGCATAATTTGAAGTGTTTTGAGCATTTGGCACAAGTCCAATGCTGGAGTTGGAAAATCACAACTTTCGCCACTCGATGTGGACTATCAACCAATCAGAGAGACTCAGCTATGTGGTGTAGTGGTGAATTTTCTGACGTGATCTGAGAAAAAAAAAACTATGGAGGATAAACTAAATGTTGCTGTTTACTCTCTTCCTATAACCTACGACCAATCAAGTTATGACTACAGAAACAGGAATAGAAAGGACCTTGCTTAGAAGAGGATGTTACGGCCCTGGGCCTTATGAGGTGGGTTGCAGGTGTTTTTTGTGTCTGCCCTTGAGCTCCTCCTCTTTACAGGTGTTACTGATCTGTTAATTTGGAGCACAGAATATTTAAACCTGGCCGTCTCAACCTTTGCGCTTCTTCTCCTGCATACTTTGTGCTATTTTCACCATTCAACTTTTATACTATTCAGCTTGCTCTCCTAAAGCCGGCTATATCTCTTGGTATTCATAACCTTCATACTTTTTATAATATTCAGCTTTTTATTAATTTTTCATGCTATGGGGGAAACTGCTCCATCATCTGGCAGAATTGAGAATTACAATATAAAATGTCCGTTGTGTTTCACAGTGGATGTTTCAGGTCCTGCCTATTAATGGCAATCAATCATCCAGTTTCAGAGGTGTCATGGAGGAAACAAGGCAGTGGCCATTTTGAAGTTGGGCAGTTTAACAGCTTTTATGCTGTTTAACACCTGGGAATAATTTGAGCTTTTGACATTGCTTTTTCCACATGTTTTTTGTAGTCACCATGCTAAACAATGCCTCTACAAATGTCGGTATGGCTTTCATTCACCCACCATTTTTATCAGAAGGATTAGGGAAAATTTCTGTCCTTTTCAAATTTTAGGTTTTACATGAGGCTTGTTTTTAAATTGTATACAATATATTACTTCTAATACTATGTGGGTGTAATTTTTGCATTGTCCAAAAGCTATTACTCCTCTTCAACAGTTTTTCTATTATGATAATACCATTTAAGCACTTTGCAGGATTATAATTTGTTCTGGTGCTTCTGCCCATTTCTGACATTTCTACAAGTCTTCAGCAGTTAACGTCAAACGTTTTGGCATTTTCAACAAAAGCATTCAGCATTGACACTTTCGCAGGAAATGCACACTTTCTAGTTATTTTTGCCTTTGCTAAAGTTTGGTTCAGTATATGTAAATGTGAATTTGCATTTTCAGCTGAGACTATGGACACTGACCTCTGGTAGGACCACAAAAGATCCTGTCATGATGGTGAGGACGATGTTAATCCCAAACAACCAGCGAAGAAAGATAAAATAGGAGGCCACGCCTGATCCAAAGTGACCTCAAGAAAAATAAAAATGCTATTAAAAATTTATGGAAAACATTTCAAATACTGTAATTTATTTTTTCCCCTGATAGCAACAAACACTAATTAGATTATAAATAAATCTGCCCTTTAAAACAAAACGTACAGAAACAAGGGAAGAAAAGGCAACACACTTATAGCAGCATCACTTTGACTCTGCAGAAAAACATTACTTACTTTCAATTTTTTTGATCCTCACTTCCCACGGAATGAATGTAACAACAATGTTGTAAAGCACACGGTAAAGTTTTTTCAGCAGCTACAGAGAAAAATTTAAAAAGCACAAAGCCAGAAGAGTGGCATTAGCACAATGCAGAAGATAATATCTTGTTCTAAAGTCCTAAATTCTCTTCAGTTCATCCATTGTAGTTTATCATATTTTATCCCTAACCCCTAAATCTATCTCCACAGGAGAGCCCAGACATCCTTTGGAGAAAACTCATTTCGGCCACTTGTATCCGTGACCTCGTTCTTTCGGTCATGACCCAAAGCTCATGGCCATAGATGAGGGTAGGAAAGTAGATTGACCGGTAAATCAAGAGCTTCGCTACCATAACAGACTGGTACAGGACCCACTTCACTGTAGATGCTGTGCCAATCCGTCTGTTGATCTGCTGCTCCATTTTTCCCTCATTCGTGAACAAGATCCCAAGATACTTAAACTCCTCTACCCTTTTCCATGGCTTTCCAAGGGACTCAGTCTAACCCTTCTCCAAGTCCACAAAACACATGTGGACTGATTGGGCGAACTCCCATGCGCCCTCCAGGACTCTGCTGAGGGTGAGAAGCTCGGTCATCTGGGAGAGACTGAGTAGAGCTGCTGCTCTTTCACGTCGGGAGGAACTAGTTGAGGTGGATCGAGCATCTCGTTGCACTCATAGAAATGATTAGTGGCAGAGTTAAGTTTTATGCATTTACATCTAGTTGATTTTATGTAGAAACTCATATTTTTATATAAATGCCTTTTAATTTATTGTCTACATAATCTAATCAATTCGAATATATGTGGAATGGAGTTAGTTAGCATATACTAAGACATTTTAAAGTTGTAAAACAAACAAGAATCTGTTTTTTAAAAATTTAGTTTGTTTTCATTCAAGTTATGAGAAGAGAAATAGGAAAACAAAAATCATGTCTTGCACCAGTAGGCAGTAATGTTAGAAATAATTCGTGCCAGAATTAAGTTTTATGCGTTTCTATCTTTTTAATTTTACTCAAAATCTCATATTTTTATATATATATGTGCCTTTAAATTAATTATCTACATCATCTAATCAATTCTAGAATGTACTAAATGTGATTGGTTAATATGTACTAACAAAGTCTAAATAATTAAAGTTCTAAAACAAACAAGATTGTTATTTAAACTTTATGTGAATGGTTTTTATTGAAGTTATGAGAAGTGAAATGGGGAATCAGACACAATGTCCTGCATCAGGAGGTGGCAGGAAAGTCCCTTTAAGTTGGCTGTCGCCAGTCTTAATATGGTAAAAGATGTACTTTCCCCCAGCATGCAGTTCCATGTGACGGATATGCGACTGTGACTCTGTGGGTAGTCTTCTTGTGAATGGAAGGTTGGGGGTTTGTTTCCAGCTTCCTTCTGCCACATGTCAATGTGCCTCTGGGCATGGCCTACTGATCTGCGTGTCTATGGAGAGCCATTTCAGCCAAAATTAAATAAATAAATAGAGAAGTCAAAAGGAAATGAGTAATTGGCATCTTTATTCCTATTTATATTTATTCATTTACACATATTTTCTTCCTTACTAATTTATCCTTTTCCCATTTTCAATTTTCTATTTTCATTTATCCTTTTTCAATTCTCCATATCTATTTATTATTTTTCATTTATCCTTTTTGAATTTTCTTTTTTCATTTACTCTTTTTCCCAGTTACTGGGAAAAGAGTAAATGATAATATGATAATGAGGAGGGGCAACGTCATCAGGCTTCAACTTCTCCCAATTGGTTGGTTAGCGTTGCACCATACTTTGCTTCAAGAAAGATAGCAACCTACCACCGGCTTATCAGTGAGCTGGAGCTTGGCTACTTCTTTAGAAAATAGTGCTATAACTCCTGACTTTATTATTTTTCGCATGGACACTCAGACAACATATGTGTGTGGTGGGTTTAAAAAAACAGACTGCTATGTTTGAGCACAACAAAATGAATTTTTCCTCTGATGTTTGGCTGAATTCTTTGTGGAGGTTGGCCATCTCTTCTTCTTCCTGAAGGAGATCCATCAGGAGTACTGGTGCTGCTCACAATGCAGACGGTTCTCCTCACCGTTCACCATGTCAGCCATGGCCCTCTCTCAGTGAAACTCTCAACAGTCATTCTTTTCCTTGATCCTTGAATAAACATAATGACAGAATGCATTCTGAGTGTTATTCCTGATTTGTTTGTTAATTGAAACATTGTCTCATATCAAAATAAGACTAATTTATTTATTCCCTTAACAGCCCCTTCTCCTGTTCTGTTCAGAGTTTAGGAGTGACTACTAGACCTGTCACAATAGCAAATTTTGCTGAGCGATTAATTGTCTCAAAAATTATTGCAATAAACGATAATATTGTTTGAGGAGCTTTTTACATTGATTTAATGGAAATGACAGAATAATCCAAGCAATATCGTGCCAAAAGTACACGTTATTTAAAAAAAAAATCACTAAACACTGGAACTGTTAAACAAAACTCAAATGAACTCTCAGTCTATGTTAACAAAAAATGCACTTGGATAAAAACTTAACAACATAAAACCAAAGTGGAAATAATAACTACATTCAACCAAAAGAGTACAGATTATGAAATCTGTTGTACACTATATTGCCCTTCAGTCATAATTAGATTTAGATAGAGAAGATGGGCATATCCGACCACCTAATGCAATAATTCACTCCTCTCTTAAGCCCAGTTCATACTACACGATTTTTTTTTTTTGTTTGTTTGTTTTTTTGACCCGATTTTCCCCTTACGGCAATCTTAGAATGTTAAACGTTCTAACATTGTCGCTTACGATTTCGTAGCCGATCATCCTGTAGTGTGTCGTGTGTTACGAATGATCGGGTCCAGTCGTAGAACCTCGTGGCCGCTCCGATCTAAAGCAAGGGGTTTCCCCGACAGGGAGCGAGAACGCAGCCTGTTGAATGTGACCGGTAGGCAATCAGCACGGAGGGGAATCCCAAACATAATAGAGAACTTCTTTGGCGCAAGCCACAGTGCAGCGGACATCGGAGATGATATGTGGAAACAACATTAATGTTTATTCAACATTTCGTGCAAAGGATATCCAAAGAAATTACCAGGAGAGGAGTTAGAGCGAAATTCCTACCACAGTATACGGTAACTTTTAAGCTGTTAATCGTTACGTGACATAAGTAGGTTACAATGATATTCATTTGGTCAGGACTTCACGCTGACACTAGCCACGTGCATTGCAGGTAGATTGTAGTAAAACATTGATTAATGCCTGGTTTTAAAATGAGTTAACTGGACTTGAAGCCATTATTTTGTGTCCATTGTTGGACACCAAACGGCACGATCGAACCCGATATACGTAGGATTTCTGTTGGGTAGTGTGTGGTCTCAGGTTTTGAAAATGGGCCGACAATCAGCGGACAGTTCTAAGATCGTGTAGTGTGAGCTGGGAATTACTCTACAGAAATGAGGAAGGGAGGGGTCAATGGAGACGATAAGCCAATAAATTTAAATGAGGTCGATAACTTTAATTTATCGTGCGATTAATTGATTTATTGTTTATCAGGACAATAAATCCTGATAAATGTATATGTAATTGAGCAAACTACATTTGCTCAATTACATATACTAGAGTAACTTTTTGAACAACAAATGTACTTTTAGGAGTACTTTTACTATGCTGAACTTTTTACTTTTACTCAAGTAATTTTATTATGAAGTATCAGTACCCTTATTGGTAACACTTTATTTGAACAAAATTGTAATTTTGTCTTTAAAATACCAGAATTTCCACTGAACTTTATATTTTGGTCCATCTAATTGTGTAATTTTTAGATATTAAATAGTTGATAACTTGATCAGTTACTTTTTACCAAATACATTTTTACAAATTTCTTAGTCAGCTACTTTTTACCTTTACTTGATTAAAAACATGTTGAAGTACTACTGTTCTTACTTGAGTACAATTTTTGGGTCCTCTACCCACCAGTAACCAAATGTTGAAGCGTAGACCAAAAACACAGGCATACTAACGTGGGCAAGCTATACATCCACAAAGAACTACTTAAATTATATATAGTAATATTTACTTTATATACATACAAACATGTTTATCAGTGATAGACATAGCAAATAACTGGAAAGACTGTATAAGTTTAAAGGCATTTTTCTAGTTTATTTATTTTTGATTAATGAAACTGCATACCACCCAGGTTCATTAACCAGTTTCAGGAACCGACCAGATCCCTTCAGTGCTATTACCTTGAGAAATAATGAGATTTGGTTAAGTATAAAGACAGGCTTTAATGCCAAAAAAATGATCAAATATTACAAGCCTTGCAAGTCAAACAAATGGAACAGATACAGTTACATTCCAGCATTGAGCCACACTTGGCACACCTTAGGGGTGACCCCAAGTGAGGCAAACATTGTAGCGCGAGTTTAGCTTTGTGTGTGCAGAATGCACAGTGGATTTTTATCCATAGGGTGTGTGAAATTCATGACAAGGTACTGTCATGAATTTCAGTCTGGTCGGTTATTTATGACTGGCAACAGTCACATGAAACATGGCTATGTAAGCTGCAGTGTGTGCATGTAAGTAGATAAGAGAGAGGAAAACAGAATCTATAACAGTATAAACCTAAATAACACCTTGCTTTGTACTAGAGATATGAACAGCCATTAAAAAAATGTACCGTCACAGTTTTCTTCAAATTTCTTCTTCAGTTTAATGTTCGGTACAACTATTTTCCATGTCTTCATGAGTGTGTTAGGCAACCACAAAATACAATATAAACCAGACAGATATACCCATACACTGCTCACCTTAATGGCCTCTCTGGACGGACAGCAGTGGTGGATGTAAGGTAATGGAAAGATGGCCTCCAATGCAGATCTCCAAGGCTTGCCATTCTCATTCTCAGCTCAGCAAAACAACTCATTCTTCGATGCTCCATAGAATTGCCTCTAGAGTTCCAACGTCTGGCCAACCGGAGGATTCCCAAAGCTTCAATTGTAAGCCAACGTTAGCGGCTGCTTTGTCCAAACTATGAACACCCAGACAG